ATTTCTCGCTTTCGGTCTCTATCTGACTGGCGAGCGCACGCGCCCTATAGCGAAAACTTCTCAAAAAAAAAAAAAAATAATAATAATCAATGGGGAAAAAACATCATATTTCCATCAGCTTTAAAATTTTTTGTCCACACATTAAAAACTTATATGGTCAGTCACAAAACTATAAAAATAATGAAAAATATAGTAAAATTATTAACTATTTAGTACATTATAGTGAAAAACATTGAAAATTAATGTTTTTAGTTCTTTGAAAAAAAAAAAGAAACTTATCAAGAATAGTTTAAATTGGGGCCAGCAGGTGGCATAGCAGTTAAGGTGCTGGACTTCCATGTGGCTACTGCGGTTCGAATCCCAGACCCAGCGGCTTGAAATTCACGCCAAGCATGTGTGCGGGAGTGACCAAAATCTCAGGAGGTGTATGAAGGAAAAGGGACAGCTGTGTGGCTATCCCCTTGGAGGGTGGGGGTGTGATTTCTTTCTTTCTGTCCTTCTGTCTCTCTAGCAAGTACACATGTCCTATAGTAAAAATCTCTCTCAAAATATAAAATAAAATAAAATAAAAATAGTAGTTTTGATAGTGGTTACTTCCTCCTCGTCGTCATAAAACGTACAATACAGTGTAACCATCTTTTCTCCACTTGGCAAACTGTCATATTCCTTTCTTAATCTGAATCAGATACCATTGCTCAAGCACTTGATGGCAAGGTGCTTAACTACTAAGGTTCTTCTGAAACCTAAGAATCTATAAACAGAAGAGAAGAAAGATAGAATAGAATAAAGAAAGACATGTAGAAGACTTACATTGTATTGATGATTAGCGACAGGTTTATAATTGGTTGTTACAACTTTATCCAGTTGTTGTGACAGCCTTACTGGCTTAGAAGATTCTTCTATTTGCAATCTGGAAAATATAATAAGAAATAATTATACATCTGTTTAGTATAGTAAAACCTGAAAAGTAATTTCTATAATTTTTTTAAAGATGCATTTATTTAATTTAATTAGTATTATTATTGACTTCCTTTAGGACATGTGTGCTCACCAGAGAGATAAAGAGAGAGGGAGGGAGAGACTCAAACCACAGTTGGTCATGCGGTAGTCTAGTGCCTTGACCACCGTGCCACCTGCTGGTTCCTATAATTCTTAATAGATAATAACATATAACAAGAAACCTCAGAAGATATACTGACCTTAATACAAAACTTCCAAAGCACAGAGAATATATATGAATATAATGTAGAAATCAGTACCATAAACTAAACACACAAACTAGCTCATAAATTCCCCGGTTTACTTCTAATCTTTTTTAAAATTTAAATTTATTTATTTACATTCATTCACTATACATCATTACAGCAAACAAAATGAGATTTCTCATCCTGAATACAGTGTATATTGGCTCAATCAAGCACATCAACATACGTGTTATCGTCAACAAAAAATTTTCCATTTCTTGTTTCCTGTATATTTTGTTATTTTTGCCATCCTTGATTCCCTATCTCTCACCCTCTGCCATGTCTCACCTTCCTCCCACACTGTCTCTGGTATCCATGGTTGCTTTCTATGGCTTTTCCCCCATTTTATTTATTAACTAGTGAATTTAATTAATCTAAATACTTCCAATAGCAAGCGCAGCTGATATATTCATATCCATGAACACAAGTCTGACTTTAGGCATAAACCTCAGTGAGTAGAATGAACATACTATAAAGTAACACCTAGCCTGGACTATATAGCTTATTGCAGTGATCAAATATGCGTTTTTTAATTTCAAGAAAAATAGGTTTTTGTGTTTTTTTTTTTCCCCCTGAAACTTTATTTTTTTTGAGAGGTTTTTGCTATAGGGCGTGTGCACTCGCCAGAAAGACAGAGAGAGACAGAGAGACAGAAAGCGAGAAATC